CACTTTAGGTAGCGATTCATAAATATATGCATATGATTATGATTTAGTCGGAATTGAACAATGGCCTCTGATAAATGTTTTGTATTTTACGCTTTCAATAAGATTATGGAATCGCGTTAATCTGGAACTATAGCCTGTTATCATTCACGAATATTAGTGTGAGTCACAAAGGACTATATATAGCTGTACAAATGGTGTCAGTGGGAGATTCAGATCGTCCGCCCCCGACGTTGGCGATGACAGTGCCGCAGCTGTAGTCTCAATATGGGGAAACGCTTGTGGAAACTAGTGTGGTTGCATGACACAAGGCAGAAATACGCCCCTAACTATATCTGCCTAGCTGCACTTCCGGTGTGGAGGGCATGAAACACGGACTTCCGGTGCAGGCAGCCACGACACTTTCCCTGCACCGCGTGCACTGTGGACGACACATATTAATTATTGGCTTTGGAAATTCCCGAGTTATTGGAGTTTATTCATCCCAGTGATTCTTTAAAACTGTCGAGAAAAGAAAGTGTACACTTGAAAATTGGATTTGACCAAACACTTTCAAAACATTACAAGACTGAAAACAATCGCTGAAACACTGCACATTTATCAAAGACATCACCATCGAATAACCTTGTCATTTTTTGTTTTACATTAGCCACCATCAAACAAGAGTGTATACTAAAGTCACTTAGTTTATATAGCAAACGACGAGGAAAGTGTTTAAATCTTCAAGTTTATTACACCATAATTCGATAATTTAGGCGACTCCGCGTGTTACTAAGGAGATTTTACCAATATGTCTCAAACATATTGGATCGTGGTGTGAGTGAGTGAGTGATGTTTGACTCTTCAGTCACCGACAGTCAACCTGTTTAATACGTGCAGTACCTATACACTGAAGTCGCGATTCAAACATCAATTTGATCTTTCTTCAGTAAATTTATATTAACCGATGGAAATATAGTTAGTTTTGAGAGTGACAATGTAAATAACATAAGCTTGCAAATGGGGTTAAGACCATGTAATGTTGTCTTGGAAACTGGGAGGTTAAAGATTAACACTCGGAATTGACAAGGCGTCAGTTTAAGTCTGCGTAGGTCCTACCCATACATTTCATACCCACTCAGTATCACACCTTTTAAACGCCTGTACATATTCCAGTCCAAGGGCTCTTGTACACAAATATTTCGACAAAGCACTCATTTCTTTCACAACTGCAAAGTATGTTTAATTAAATGTGTCAGCTGCTTGTCGTCACGTTACCGTTTCGTGTTTACGTACATCTAAAAAAATGTCATTCGAGAGATAGCGTGACGCGCTGTATTGGAACTCGGCATATAGACTGGTTCTTGGCTTTAATTACGTTGCTTCCTCTTTACGATTATTAAACTTAAGGAAGAGAATCTAGGAATGTCAATTTCTTTTTTATAAGGAACACAACGTTTTGGAGTATATGCTTACTCCTTCTTAAGTTTCCACCTTTTGTTATCTTATTACTGTTGTTGTTCTTACGTGTACATATATATGTTCTCTGCCTCATATCATTCATTCACCTGATGAAGGGGTAAGTATATACTCCGAAATGTTGTGTTCCTCATCATAAAGGAGTTGGCATCCATAAATTCTCTTCATTATGTGCATCACTTCTAAATTCCTTTCAAAGACTTGATTATTATATTTATTCGACATCATTTATACCCAATACCTTTCTAGAGGCATAACATAAAGGTTATTGTTTTGTGTTTTGTTTAAAGTCGGATTAAATGCGCAACTTTGTCAACATGTTTTGTACAACAAAAGTAACAGTGGCGATTAAATGCGCAACTTTGTCAACATGTTGTGTACAACAAAAGTAACAGTGTCGATTAAATGCGCAACTTTGTCAACATGTTGTGTACAACAAAAGTAACAGTGGCGATTAAATGCGCAACTTTGTCATCATGTTTTGTACAACAAAAGTAACAGTGGCGATTAAATGCGCAACTTTGTCAACATGTTTTGTACAACAAAAGTAACAGTGGCGATTAAATGCGCAACTTTGTCAACATGTTGTGTACAACAAAAGTAACAGTGGCGATTAAATGCGCAACTTTGTCAACATGTTTTGTACGACAAAAGTAACAGTGGCGATTAAATGCGCAACTTTGTCAACATGTTTTGTACGACAAAAGTAACAGTGGCGATTAAATGCGCAACTTTGTCAACATGTTGTGTACGACAAAAGTAACAGTGGCGATTAAATGCGCAACTTTGTCAACATGTTTTGTACGACAAAAGTAACAGTGGCGATTAAATGCGCAACTTTGTCTACATGTTGTGTACGACAAAAGTAACAGTGGCGATTAAATGCGCAACTTTGTCAACATGTTGTGTACGACAAAAGTAACAGTGGCGATTAAATGCGCAACTTTGTCAACATGTTTTGTACGACAAAAGTAACAGTGGAGATTAAATGCGCAACTTTGTCAACATGTTGTGTACGACAAAAGTAACAGTGGCGATTAAATGCGCAACTTTGTCAACATGTTTTGTACGACAAAAGTAACAGTGGCGATTAAATGCGCAACTTTGTCTACATGTTGTGTACGACAAAAGTAACAGTGGCGATTAAATGCGCAACTTTGTCAACATGTTTTGTACAACAAAAGTAACAGTGGCGATTAAATGCGCAACTTTGTCAACATGTTCTGTACAACAAAAGTAACAGTGGCCGTGGCACAGAAGCAGGTCGCGGTCGGTGCCAACGCAGCTAAAGTTGTCTACAAAGACGAGCCAGGGACGCTGACATGTATCATGTCACACGGAGCACCGACATGCGAGAGGTCAATGTCCTCGGCCCCTTTGACGCCCAAATATCTACCTGCATGTACAAAAGATAAATGCTTATCTTTGATGTGTCCCCGACGGGCAGAAAGCCTTTCTCAAACTCCCGTCTCTCTGAGCGCATTAATTACAGGTGTAGCAGTGGCATTAACTCAGGTAAACACGCTGTCATTCTTGGGGTTTTCATGTACAGAGTATGCCGTCCTAGGAACAAGGCACCATACATGTCCGTAAACAAGATGTTCCTGATCATTTCCAGGACGTGATATCGACCTTTTATGGAACGCTTTCGAAAATGTACGGGTTTTTTTAACCTCTTCCATGTTTGGGAGTCACCGCCACAGGGGAGTGACATAATCCTTCGTGTAGGCCCCGGTTTACAAAGCGATCGTAGTCTTACGACTGGCGTAAGTCTGTATTGAGGTGCGGTAGCTACGACAGTGCTGGTATTGCTAGTGTTAGTCAAAGGGGACCTCTGGGTTAACTAGTATCAAGTCCGTGATTAAAGATGAACTTTTCATAAAATATGTTGCAGGACTTCATTCGTCAGAATAACACCCCAGCAGTCGTCAACTAAATACCTATCTAGCAGCAAGGCTAACACAGGGGTTGTGTAGCACCGTCATATTCTGGGGAAGTTAACGAGAGACTGTGAGACGTATCACGTGTTGACTGGGGGACGTATCACGTGTTGACTGGGGGACGTGTCCCGTGTTGACTGGGGGACGTATCACATGTTGACTGGGGGACGTATCACATGTTGACTGTGGGACGTATCACGTGTTGACTGGGGGACGTATCACGTGTTGACTGGGGTACTTATCACGTGTTGACTGGGGGACGTATCATATGTTGACTGGGGGACTTGTTACGTGTTGATTATGGGACGTGTCCCGTGTTGACTGGGGGACGTGTCCCGTGTTGACTGTGGGACTTATCACGTGTTGACTGTGAGGCCTATCACGTGTTCACTGTCGGACTTATTACGTGTTGATTATGGGACGTGTCCCGTGTTGACTGGGGGACTTATCACGTGTTGACTGGGGGACGTATCACGTGTTGACTGGGGGACGTGTCCCGTGTTGACTGGGGGACGTATCACATGTTGACTGGGGGACGTATCACGTGTTGACTGGGGGACGTATCACGTGTTGACTGGGGGACTTATCACATGTTGACTGGGGTACTTATCACGTGTTGACTGGGGGATGTATCACATGTTCACTGGGGGACTTATCACATGTTGACTGGGGGACGTATCACGTGTTGACTGGGGGACGTATCACGTGTTGACTGGGGGGCGTATCACGTGTTGACTGGGGGACGTATCACGTGTTGACTGGGGGACTTATCACACGTTGACTGGGGTACTTATCACGTGTTGACTTGGGGACTTATCACATGTTGACTGGGGTACTTATCACATGTTGACTGGGGGACTGTTGGACTGTGGGACGTATCACATGTTGACTGGGGGACTTATCACGTGTTGACTGGGGGACGTATCACGTGTTGACTGGGGGACGTATCACGTGTTGACTAGGGGACGTATTACGTGTTGACTGGGGGACTTATCACATGTTGACTGGGGTACTTATCACGTGTTGACTGGGGGACTTATCACATGTTGACTGGGCTACTTATCACATGTTGACTGGGGGAATGTTGGACTGTGGGACGTATCCTCGAAGTTATGGAGATCGGGTGGTCTCAGTGGTTCCAAAGTACCACTGAATGCCAGGGGAGACTATTTCTCAAATTGTATTTGGACAATTGTGTGCCATCGTATTGGTTCAGTACTCCCTCTATCGACCACCGGTTTGTCTGGCCAAGGTTCGATAACCAACAGGTCGTATACGTATAACCTGGTGCGTGCGCACGACGTCACATTTCCTACTCGCTTTACCAGTGCACATACAGGTATGTTATGCGTCCATATCGCGACTAGGTCAGTACACTACATAATGTGTCGTCTCGAGTAGTCTCGGGAACACTCAAATATACTGATAGGTGTTAAATCGACGCAGGAATTCACATCCACCATGATTCAGCCTGACGTCAATCCACAATGCATTATCTAAGCCTCCACAAATATCACCTGCTTGCCTATTGCTGTACATGAAGCGGGACTCCCTACATCATGCGATCCACTGTCAGCTCTTGGTAAAAATAAACAAACATTATAATGTATTCAACTGGATTCAAGATTTATTAAATTGAATAAGTTAGATTTACATCGCAAACATTCATGGAATTCGTTCAAGGCCAGTGAGAGACGCTGGTACATTTTATGGCACTTCTCACAGAAAAACCGATCTCCTTCTGCCGTTCATGCCTTTCATACCTTATCCATTCATGGATATCACACATCACAGAAACAGTCACACGCTCAGTCACATAAGCACGTCACACACCCAGTCACACACATGCACCAGGAGAAGGCAACATCACCGGAGTATTGCCGACATTGACAGAAGGAACTTTCATCCGTTCATATAACATTCACAATATTCGCATTTACACCTTATAAATACAGTATAAAAGTACAAAATATGAGACAAGGCATACATGAAATGGACGGATGTCGCTCTTTCTCTATTGCAGCTGCCCTTTAACAGGTGGGTTGGGCGCAGTGGGGCGTGATTGCGCCGGTTGGTGAATTGAGAATTATAGAAATAATGAAACTGCTTAATTTTACATGCTGACCAATCTTGTCTTAAATGAATACCCTGGTGTGTTCCATATTAAAGCTCAAAGGGTACGAATAGTACCTGTCCCTTATGTTCGGTAACATATAAATGGTCGCTCTTTCCACTTTCCTACAAAGACCAATACCAAATCTACCATGAATGAGATTTCTATGTTACAAAAGTAACAAAAATATCAAATCAAAACGATAACCTAACAATGTCCTGCATTGCTTCTCTGTAAATGACTAGAATAGTTCCTAGGTAAGTCCTTCTGTACACGATCGCGTATGAATACATCAGATGTGAGTGCGCCATTGTCTTTGGTATCATTGCCATTGCAATAGTCAGTAATGACGTCACATCGAATGCGAAAATGCATCGTCGTTGCCACGCAACCATATCCTTGATCGTTTCCACATTCTGGTTGTAGCTGGACCAACCAACGTTCCTGCGTATCAGCCAGGACAGCCTCTCTTCAGCGTGTTGGCAGTGTCGTGTAGATGTACCTGTATGATCATCAGTGATGGGAAGCTGCCATACGTTCAATGTATACGTGGAACAGTGGTGAAGGTGAAGGTGTTTCCAATTCCGTTGAAGATGAATTCTTACAACCCTGCAAACAAATATTACAAGATTAAAATTTGAAACACACAATCACAAAGCAACTTGAGAATCATATTTAAGACCAAAGTTATGATGTTGTTTGGGTTTTTTTTGGTTTTTAAGAAAAAGGTATCTCAGCATTACAGCGATTTGATATCGTATCAATATTAATAATATATTTTATTAAATAAATATGAAAATTATTTTCTGGGATATTATATGGACACACAAATTTACTCGGTAAATCGCAAAAAAGTTAGTTATTTAAAAACATACCTTTGCAGAGGGATGACAGGACGTCCTCTTTGGAGATTTCCAGTTCATCGTAACTAGGCACAATAATTATGTTCTCCTTTCCGTTACTGATAAGTTCAAGGTCGTTCTTGTTGTAATCATCACCGATGTAAACAACGTAGGTGTCGATCTTCTTGAATTTATTCCGCTTCGCCTCCTTGAACGCTGCGTGAGTCAGCGGAACGTTAGAATCCACGAACACCACAGCTGTCTTCTGCACGGATTGTCTCCCCTTAGTCAAGGCTCTCCTCGTTCGACGCAAGACGGCGCTAAAGTCAGGAAAGGCAACTCTGTCCATTTCGTCTTCGGTCTCCGTGACTTCTGTGAGCCTGTTGCTCAGGACGCCAGTTGATGCTGGGCGACTGAGAAGGAGGGCGGTGTTGAGATTATCGCCGTGGTCAAAGTCGCTAAACAGGCTGTCGATGAAGGCGAGGATGCGTTTGGATTTGATAGCGCCGATGTGCAGGTGATCTACAGCAAACACCATATCGACTTTCCGTTTTGGACTACAAGCTGAACAAGAAAAGGTTTATTAGTTGCGTTGTGAACGAGAGCATGTTTAAACTGGGAAAATACATTAAAAAGGCGTTCATGATTTATGTCGTGAGGACACGTCAATCGGTTGTCCTTAAGGACCTGTGTCATGTATGTTGTCTCAAACGCGACATGTTTAAAGATCTACTACCGACGACCCCTCAAGATCCGGGGTAAAATAGGTCTTCATCAACCCATGCTTGCCGTAAAAGGAGACTATGCTTGTCTAAGAGGCGACTAACGGGATCGGGTGGTCAGGCTCGCAGACTTGGCTGATGCATGTCATCGTATCCCATTTGCATGAATCTATGTTCATGATTTCAATCACTGGATTGTCTGGTCCAGACTCGATTATTTACAGACCGCCGTCATATAGCTGGAATATTGCTGAGTGCGGCGTTAACAACAAACAAACTAACTATTACCGACCTTGGCAACACCATATAATTTGTTATATAAGCAAATAATATTCTAAAAATATGACATACCTGCTTTAGGCTCCGCAACTGGTGGATGGACCTGATCTGAAAAACACAAAGAGATAATTGCATGAGTTTTTATGGCCATGAGTATTAATTCAAATGATGACATTGCAAAATGCTAATTCTTCCAAAGGCTTTCCTCCTATACTATACAATATGTCAGAAGCAACACTACAATTAACATACCTCGAGGGCACAAACCGAGCTGTTTACTCCCTACCACTGTATTGAAATTTACCCAAGCATCAAAGGCAAATAGAGAACAGGTTCTTCCAAGCGTGTCCTGATTGCTCCTTGTAATACTTACAATCACATTCGTGGATCTTCAACAGGCTGATCAGGGGGTCGATGATGTTGTAGTCGTCTGAGTCGAAGACGAAGTCGCTGGCGGGAGGGGAGGCCATTGCGGTCAGCTCGGACCGGTCCCATTGTCCGCCAAGGTTGACCGTGAACACATAGACTCCCGCTTTTTTAAGCAATCTGGCCTCGACCAAAGTTGCCTTGGCATTGTGAGAAAATCCGTTGGTCATGAAAATAGCGACATGGGCCACGCTCTGCCTTGCAACGGTTGGGGCGAAGGCGGTTCGTCTGAGAAAGTCCAGCGTCTGAGCATGATCCCTTTGGCCCCCGACTCTTGGGGTGATGTCGATTGCTTTCTTGAAGTCGTGCGTGTTTTTGTAACTGCCGAGGCGGATTGCGGTCAAAGGAGTATTTCCGGAAGAAATTACCCCAAGTCGAACTGTGTTCATGCCAAGGTAGAACAGGGAAGACAGCTCTTTAAAATAATTCTTTTGAAGATCGATCTCTTTCTGGGTCACATCACGTGACGTATCCATCACAAAGTAGACATCGGCAGGCTTCCCTCCACACCCTAGAAACAACACATGTCTCATTAAACATTCAGCAGTGCATTCTTTTTGTTTATGTAACATTCGCAAAATATACTACTCAAAAGAAGTAAAAGAACACTCGATTCTTTCTTATGACTACAGTTAATCCTTCATGCCATGAGAAAGAAACATCTTCTGAGTATTATATATTCATTGCGTAAAGGTCAGCGACTGATCAACGAAATATTATAAACATCCTGCTAACCGTGTTTGAAAAGGGCACAAAAACGGTTACCAACATTCCAGGAATAACTCTGATACAAAGGGAAGTGTTACTACGTATACGGGGGGGGGGGGGGGGGGGGGGGGGGGGCTTTGGGTTCAAGGTGTAACGGGCTCTGGTTTGGCAGATTCGCTAGCCGTCATACCTATGAATTGTTGGATAGGCATTAATTAGAAGTTGATGGATGACAAGTTAGACATTTTTTTGTGGATACCAACTTCTTTAATCCTGTATTAAAGAAATAATACTGTATTGAAGAAGTTGTTATCCATAAAATTGTGTCTACCTCGTCATACCAAATAGTTCATGAATCAATATTTTTTATCCACTAAACGATAGATGTTCATGTCGATGTGCGCTTGACTGTGGAGATCGAATTGGAGGAAGCGCACATCAAGGGTGTAATATTAATGACATCAGGGGTACAACCCATTTTCCTCCTAATAAATCACAGACATAAATAACACTGTTGAATAAATTAAGACATCCCACTGTTATCCTTTCTGAAAATTCCCTTTGAAAATCGAAATATGTTTTTCTTCGAACTCAATTAACCATAACAGGTGCGTGTTGTCCGACTGGGTAGACAACTGAAGAATATCCTGTTACATACTCCAATCATTTTAGGAAAACACTAAAAGGCGCCAGTTTCTCAACTAACCTCTCGGGACGATGCCTGCCTGTTCGTCGACGGCGAAGTTGCCAAACCAGCCGTGGGGGTCGCTTTGCATGAGGAAGTCGTCATAATCTGTAGCAATAAAACGTTTATAAATAGCTATTCAATACATTCTCCATTCGTCTACCCATTATTGAATAGTCTCTATATTTAGACTGCCTTTATCTATGCCCCCGATTGGAATGTGTAATATTTCCGTTGAACATAACCAACAAAACACCCCTGAATCAATGACACTAAACTCACAATGACACAACTACCTTACGAAAGAGACGATGTGTATAATTCGTACATACTGAAACGTATATATGGCTGTCGGAGAATAGTTAACACAAAATGATAAAAATCAAATAATTTACCTAGTGCTTTTGCTGAGATTGTTGACATCTGAAAAATAAGAAAGGACACTGTAGTATATAGCACATGTATATGTTTAATAATTCATTTCAATAACTGTAGCGGAGTTTATAAACAAAATAAGGAAAAGAATGTCAAATATTTCAAATCAGCTGAGTGACGTGTGCACGTGGGTCTCGTCGCTTAAAGAAAGCATCTTATATGTATTACAACAGCTCAGTGATAAAACAGGGGATTTCGCACAAGAACCCCTTCAACATCTGCCTCAATACACAACAAATGACAAACATTATGTCAGGCTTACCATGCAGACACACACAACCAGGGCGAGAATGTGTTCCATATTGAATACCCGGCTCACAAGTACAGCTTCTAAAGAATGTAATCTCGTTCCGCTAGGACTGTATCTCGTCTTTTGACGCTCGTGTCTGGCGTTGTCACAGTGAGAATGACTTGGATAGACCGGGCCTCGTATTTATGTAGGACGGCGAGCCAATGATTTCCCGTAAGGCGGGGCTTGCATGGCGACCACGCACTTCGCTTGCAGTTAGCATCACACACTACGGAGCAGTAGTAGCGAGTCCTAATATGGCAGTTCCGTATCCGTTGTCCGTGGCAACCAGGAGTGATGGCCGCCAATGGGATTGCCGCCTAAATTTCTCAGACATGAAACTTTCATTCATGAATCTGAAACGGAAGCCAGAATCGGAAAATAGACTTTTGGCTCAGAAATTGCCTGACTTCTGGTGTTATACTGCGTTATATTGTGGCTATATTTAGCCGAGCAGCGTTCAATTTCGTTGGTCTGCGCGTTTTAAATTCCTGTCTGCAACCACCGTGACGTCGTTAAGCGTCTACATTGATGACATTATCACACATGCGCCACCCTATACACAATCACGACGCTTGGTTATAAACATATTATATCAACCGATAAATAGAAGACTTCCTTTGTTGAAGATATGACAACCCAGTGATTTTGATGATGAGAATTTCTATCCTTGGCTGTAACAATAATAGCTCGCCGACCATTATTCCGAACCATAAATTCAGAAAATATTAAACTACAATACTTGAATATTTGACAAGACAATTTTTATGGAGATGTCTTTTGGAATATTTAAAGAGGGAAATCTTTTCTCATCGTGTAGTTTGTCATACTTGAAGCTTTTCCCATGAGTTTTAACAACATAAATATGCGGACCACATAACAATGTTATTTCTACTTCTTTTTGTTCAACTTTCGTGTTTGATGTTATATGGCTGCACGATAGTTTTTCTCAGCATTTTGTGTTTACGTCAAAAAAGGTTTTACGTGGTCATTTCAGTTATATGCGGTCGCTGTACAATTTGAAATAAAATTGTTTCAGAAATTGTTTTCAAATTCCTTTAGTACATCTGACGTCAGCAGAAAGCTCCCTGTGCATATCAATTTCTTTGTGAGCGCAAGAAGAAGTACCGCTTGTAATTTACAATGTAAATAAATAGCGTGGGCAGAAAGCTTTTCTTCGCTAAACAGAAGCGTAAAAACATACACTGTTATTTTACCATATTCGCTTCTTGGGGTGTCGTTCTCCCTGTTATCGCTGTAGGTTTGTTTTCTTCTGCATTGTTAAATGTGTTTATTCTATTGTTTTGTTTTCTGCCGACTTTAGGAATGGAAAGCTGGAACGCATTCATAAGACGATTATACCTTTAAGAGTAATAAATGAAAATACGCAAGCTCTCCGTATCTACGTAGTGGGTCCTCGTATCTACGTAATAACATTACTGTTAGGGGCTGATGTATAAACATGCATATAGTGTATCACTTGTCCCCAACTTGTATTTTCACGATAAAACTGTTTTGTATAAAAATTCAGGGGGCGGCAACTTCCCCCCCCATCCCAACCCCACCTGCGCCCCCCACCCCGGTTGGCTACGTCACTGACATGGCTATTCCTGCTGTACGTGAGGAATCACTTTATTCTGAGGTGAATTGTGTTTAAAAGAAAAAGCATTACAAAGTCAAATAACTTTTTTCATTTTCCTCTTAAGCTTTTGATTTCGCATATTCAAAATGACAATCGTATAAAAAATCAATGCACACCCATAAGTCAGTATAGAAAAGGGGTGATGGTGGGTAGAGTATATTACGGTGATAACAGGTGTATGGCGTCAAACCCTGATGGACATCACACTTAAACTTGTACTGCAACACCTTAATTCTCAAACTCACTTCTAGACATTATGTTTTACTGTCGGCATGGCTGTCTGGCTACTGTAAGAATATGTTGTCAGCAACGACAAAAGATAAGTGTGAGGTGCCACCGTTTAATCCGCACCCACAACGTTAATCCGACATAATCCCCGTGTCACGAGGCATGCACGAGGGATTTCGGAGTACGGACGTGAAAGGCTTATCTAACGGTAAATACATTTCTATTGTTTTATACGACGATCAGGGGGAGCACTGCCTTTGGGCTCTAACACAAGTACTAATTACTAGAAACAATGTACATAAGAGACACAATTGAAGTTTGTCCCAGTACTTCATCACTGACGACGGATTTCAGAAGGTATTTAGTGCTTGTCAATGGAAAGTTATCTTACCATTCAAACCACTTAAGAACCTACTGTTGTTTTAGTACTCAGCTCAAAATACCTAGGAAACCAGTAGGAAAGTAATACAAATAGTTTTGAGACATAAACATAATAATATAAACATGACATATGTAAAGGGTCTGAGACAGCGTATATTAATTTAGGAATGTTAATGAATATTATTTCATAAGAGAGAATATATGGGTGTCAACTTCTCTATTATGAAGAAGACAGCGTCTCGGAGTATATACTTACTCCTTCATCATTCTCCTGCTGAAGGAGTGAGCATTATACTCCGAAACAGTGTTGACATCAATAAATTCTCTCTCTTATGTGTATCACTTCTAAATGACAATCGAAAACTTAGATTATTTCATATTAATTTCAGAGGGTGTGGGCCTTTTTGTGTAATCCAAACTGATCCACCCGATATGAGAACATGTGGACAGCTAGCTATTAATTACATCTGACTAGGCGTGGTCAACGTTCCACCTTTGTAAGCTTCCCAATCCTCTACCATCATATCTTAATTCGCATGACATGATGTGATAAGGCAATATTTGTATTTCGAAATAACTATGATTATCCCACAGCTAGATCTATACATGGCGGTATGCCGGGCGCGCTGCTACGTCCTTGTTCGTCAATGCTTTATTCATATTTTTTTAATTCTCCATGACAATGCAATATTTTCTTATTAGATAGGCGGTGATGCACATTTTTTACACATTGCAGGTGTTGAATGCGAGATCATTTGGTGCACTCGCATCATATGTCATGAAAAGTGATTGTAGTGTAATTGACGATACAGGTGGTGCTTTCTGAAACGTCAGGCTTACGACACGTTCCTCTCTGTCCTCTACATAGAGATGACTGGATCGCTGTACGAAGACGTGTGCAGTATGGTGCAATGTCACCCATTCTGTAACTCTATGTGATTTTTGAGTAACCGTTTGGTAGAGGCGATTGATTTGGGACAAACTAAGTCTCCCCCCCCCCCATTCTTGATACCCCCAACACACACGTACGTACACCAACACACGCACACGCACACGCACACACGTATACACACCAACACACGCACACGCACACATGTACACACACCAACACACGCACACGCATCGACGTGACATATATAGAATCTTCCCCACTGGGCATTACACCATACACACTAATTCACTAACGCCCCCCTCTAATACTTTCTTTCATTCTGTTCGATGTGTGCCGTTTTCACACTCAATTACGTATATGTAATCAAGAGAACACGCGCATGGTGAATACATTTTAAGCATGTGGTGTGTTCTGTAGAAGAGCACTTATATACAATGACACACAAATGCTAACTATTTCCTGACTGTTGTGTTGTAGGCCGCGTTTTCACCAACATTTCCTCTGTTAACACTTTGAAATAACGGATGAGCGTTAGTTGTTTCCGGCAGACCACCCGGGGCAGTGTGGGAGGCTTGAGTCCACCTATACCCCCAACTGTTTACTCATCACCCTGCCATCCATTAGCATAACCCTGACGTGGCATGCATACCCACAGCGTTAGCAATACACTAGCGGCAGTCTAACACACACTGCACTATTACTGATGCATACTAGAAGCATTCTACGCACCCGCCTACTGACATTGGCTAATTATCACATCCCAATGCAACAGCTACGCCCTAAGCGTTAAGGACAAAGCATTATGAGAACATTATTGTCGGAAATTGACTTCCTGATTCATAATAATATCATTGCACTAAAACAAAACAAGCTAATGAGTTCATATAAATGTATTGATAACTGAAAACTGATATTGATTGTGATGTGTACTATGTCAATATACCCGCAAACAATGTTGTACCGTATTTCTTATTTAAACTGCTATAACTTCCTCTTTTAATAATCCTTTCGTGTACAGATTTTAGTGTCTCATTAACCAATTAATGGCTGGACGCACTGTAAATCATGTGTATATTTTATGAATATTTTACATGTACAAGTGCATGTGACACTTTGAAAACTGGCGGTGGGGTAGCCTCGTGGTTAAAGCGTTCGCTCGTCACTCCGAAGACCCTGGTTCGATTCCCCACATGGGTACAATGTGTGAGGACCATTTCTGGTGTCCCCCGCCGTGATATTGCTGGGGTATTGCTGGAATATTGCTACAAGCGGCGTAAAACCATACTCACTCACTTTAATAAACATATACTGCTACTATTGCTGTGAGGGTGACCAGACGTCTAGCACAGGGTGAAGACAGGGTGGGTGGGTGCGGAGCCTATCTGGGTCAGGAGAAGTGGCAACTGATAACACCAGTCCTTCAAACTGATCTCTAACCGGAAATGAATTTAACCACACACTTCATAATCCCTTTCTTTTGTTTAAAACCTAGTTTAGAAACGTTTTTAATTTTTTCAAACCCCCAAACCTTCAGCCAAAGTTAACACGAGTAAACTTAAATTCTTAAACCTAAAGTTTTGCTTCTAAAACATCATAGTATTATAAATAAGAATATGATCACGGTTCGTTATACCTATTTCCTAAGCGGCGTTAACTGTACAGAGAATACGCTCTCGGCTAGCCTTGCTTCAAGGGTGTACTAAAAGAAAAGTCAATTGATGTGTAGTAATTCTTTCCTTCTGATAGTCAAGTCTAGATGTGTGGACTCTAAGGACTCCAGTCTCTTATAGGGACAACTTGTTCTTATTATTTACATACTCTTGAAATTATGATTTAAAATAATAATTATTGCCTTAGAGACTTGCGCAAGTATAACTCTTGGACCCAGCGCAGTACGGTGCTGAGAGTATGTATGTTTAGGGAGTGATTTGATCATGATCAGGATTATTCATTCCGGCGTACAAGCTCCCTGCATCGCAGATTGCGATCTGACGTCAC